TGGCTCTGTTGGGAGAGGGGGCTCTGGGATTGTCCAGTTGGGCACAGGATGTTCTAGGGTTGCTCCGATGGATGGTTCTGTTGGGAGAGGAGGCTCTGGGGTTGTCCCTCTGGGGAATACATGTGGGAAAAGAAGTCTGAGGGTTGTCCTGTTGGATAGAAGAGGTTCTAGAGTTGTCTTGTCGGGTGGCTCTGGTGGGAGAGGAAACTTGAGGACTGTTTCGTTGGACGAAGGAGGTTCTGGGGTTATCCTGTTGGGCGATTCTTGAGGGAGAGGATGCTCTGGGGGTGTTGTGCTGTGTGAGAGAGGTCCTGGGGATGTCCTGTTGGGTGGATGAGGTTCTGGGTTTGTCCCGTTGGGCGATTTGTGTGGGAGAGGAGGCTCGGGGGGTATCGAACTGTGTGGAAGCAGTCTGGGCAACATCCCTCTGGGCAGAACAGCGAAGAGAAGAAGTCTGGGGGGTGGCACTGCGAGGTCCGCCCTGCAGTGTCGCACAGGAAGCCGGGGTTAGTGCCAACCGGTGCCGCTCCAAGAAGTTCCCACTCTCTCCCCGGAGCTTCGCCCAGTGCTGTCCGGCACTTCGGCTCCCACTGGTGTCTGGAGAGAGGAGAGGCGGGTTCAAGGTAAGGGGAGGGGTCTCACACACAACCTCTCTTTGTCCCCTGGGACAGATGATTAAGGCAGAGCCCACAGCCCCTTCTTAGAGGACCCACTGTCCAGACCAAGTGAGTCCACCCTTCGGAGCGAGTTAGATCGGATGAGGCTTAAAGGCCTCTCTCAAGCTGAGGCTGGGAACTTGACATTGAAACCCCAGCTGACTCAGTCACTGGAAAGTAGGCTCCAGAGCTGAAAGGGCACGTCGACTGGGGATCCCTGCACAAACTTGTAGAGAGCCCTTTCGACAAGAGCCCACGGGACCCGAGAGAGGGAGAGGTGGGTCTGGGGACAGCTACCTAGCAACTTCCCTTTCCCTGTTCTACCTCCTGCGAGTGGGATCTGAGAACTCCCCCCATCTCTTCTAAGGAGGCTCTTTCACGTATGATAGTTCTAGAAAGCTCCCATTCCTTATACCCAGAAAGGCTCCTGCCCCGGATGCTCTCAGGGCTGCCCTGAGCCTGGCATGGACTTTTGTGAACCTGCAGCATGGGCCTCACCTGGGAGTTTGCCTGAAATGCAGACTCTCAGGGCCCCCCCCACGGGCGCACTGCGAGAAATCTACATTTTAATAAGATTCCCAGGTGATCTGCGTGCACATTATAGTCTAAGCAGCCCTGGTCCGAGAGATTAATGTAACTGCCCTAAACAGGGACCCCTTCACAACTCCCATTCCCAGGGAGGGACCACCATGACCTCAGTTTCACCCTCCAGCCCCCTCAGCCCTTGGTCACCCAGCATGTGGTGGCCCCCAGCTGTGTGTGTGTCCCCGGGCCGGAGCTTCAGGAGAGGAATAAAGGGTATGGTGGCTTCTGGAACGAGCCACCACTGCTTTCATTAAAGGCCATGCTTAAGGGGCACCTGGGTGGCTCAGTCAGTTAAGTGTCTGCCTTTGGCTCAGGTCATGATCTCGGGGTCTTGGGATGGAGCCCCACATCCGGCTCCCTGCTCAGTGGGGAGTCTGCCTCTACCACGCCCCACCCAGCTTGTGCTAGCTCTCTCGAACGCTCACTCTATCTCAAATAAATAAATAAAAAGAAAAGAAAAGAAAATAAAGGCCATGCTTAAGACGCCCTCCCCTCCTGCTTGGAAAGCTCTGTCTCCTCCAAACTTTCTGACCTGCTGGCCCTGAAGTCTGAATTTCCAGCACCTAGCAAGGGACCAGAACCAAGCACATAGCAGCACTTAATTTTTCATTGTTGTTGCCCAATGAACTGACGCCCCATGGCGTTCTAAATCGGCCGGCTTCTCTTATCCGCCTCCTCCCACCTCCCCCTCAGCCACCCACATCCCTCGCCTGGATGGTTGCAATAGCCCCCAGCATGTGCACTGGGGGCCCCAGGTCATCATCCCATTCAGGGAGATCCTTTCCAAAAGCAAACCTGGCTAGATCACCCCTGCTTACACTCCATGCAGTGTGGGTCCTGGATGGGAGCGCAGGACCACAGAGGGACATTAGGGGGGAAAACGGATGAACCCAAATAAAGTCTATAGTTTAGACAGTGGTGCTATACCAATGTTAATTTCTTAATTTTGATAGCCGTACTTTGGGTTTGTAAGATGTCAACATTAGGCGAACTGGGCAAAGGGTATAATGGAAACTCTCTGGACTCTTCGCAACTCTGCTATAAATCTAAAATTATTTCAAAATAAAAGATGGCAAAAACATCAGGGGCTCCCAACTGCATTTGGAAGAAAATCCAGGGATTTCACATGGCCGGTGAGGCTCTGGCCACCCCCACCAGACTCCCTGCTCCATTTGAGGAGGGGCCCCACCTTCTAGTTTTCCTCTGTGTCTCCCCGGCTGAGGAAAGTGCTGAGCACACAGGAAGGGCTCAATCATACCGTGCTGCCCGCCTCCAAGCTCTGAGCTCTGCTTCACCCTTTGAGCACGGGTGCTGGCTGAGATGGCGTTTGCCACCGCTCCTGGTGCCTCATGGTGGGGTCAGTGCCCCCACCCCCAGCCCAGGCTTCTTCCTTGCCTGCCCATCTTGAGCATCCTTTTCGGCCTGGCCCCCCCAGGATCTGACCTCTCTCCCACAGCCCCCTAACGCGCACACAGGGCAGGCTCTACGTATGTCCTAGGGCACCGTGTCCTGTTCCTCGGCCGGCGGGGCTCTGTGCAGCCTGCCCCTTGGAGTGTGCTTTGCAAACTAGGAGGTGCCCAGAGCGCCATGTCAAGGGGTTCCTAACATCTCATCCTGGAGTTGGTTAACTCCTCCGGGACCTTGGCTCCCTGTCTGCAGTGTGGGAGCCTGCCACCAAGTGGACAGTAGTGACTGCCTTCAATCAAGAAGGGCACAGAGTGAGCCTTCCCCCACTCCACTGCCCTGTGTGAGAAGCAAGAAAGCAGGTATTTAGTACAAAATCCCACCTGCCTATTAGGCCACTCTCACTCCGGGGAGGCATTTGGCTCCCTGCATCCTCTGTGATATTATTTCTTCCCATGCACCCTCTCCCCGGGGCCTGAGAGGGCAAGGCAGTGCGGGTGGGGCGGTGATAAGATCTGATTCATGTTTTTGTTTGTTTTTTTAGAGAGGGTGGGGGGGAGCACACATGCCTGGGAGCAGGGGAAGGAGCAGAGGGAGAGAGAGAATCTCAAGCAGGCTCCATGCTTAGCGCGGAGCCCAATGCGGGGCTCGATCTCACGACCCTGAGATCATGACCTGCGCTGAAATCAAAAGTCAAATGCATAACCGACTGAGCCACCCAGGTGCCCCTCGTGTTTTTAAAGGCGGCTCCAGCTGCTGTGGGGAATGGACTGAGAGGGCCGGACAGAATCCGGAGGCTTGAAGGGGACTCTGGTGACAATCCCAGCGGGGGGCAGCAGTGGTTTGGCCAGGGAGTACTTGTACAGATGGCAAGAAGGGGCTAGATTTGAGGTGTGTTTTGCAGGTGGTGCTAACCACAAGTGCTGACTGAATACAAAGGTGAGGAAACAGAGAAATCGGGAAAACACAAGATTGGGGGCCTGAGCCGTCAGAATGGTGGTGACATTGAACAGACTGCAGGAAAAACAGGCTTGGAGGGAGGGTCAGGGTGTGAGTGGCCCCCTACATCAGCCTCCTCTCTCCTCCCCCCGACTCCCGTGCTCCACATGCTCCCATCACCCATACCCGGCTCACATGCCAGTGAGGTGCTAACCAGGGTCATGGGCATCTGGGGGCGTGGCCTGCCCAGTGGCCTTTTCCCTTTCTCTGCAAACAATCCTCCTGATTTCCTGTGGGCAATCTCCTCCCCCACTCTCAGGCCATGAGGTGTGCACAGGGGCCTGACCCCATCCCCGATCACCAGGTTGGGCATGTGACCCACGTTGGGTCCCAGGGAAAACCCTATGGACAAGATTGTACCCTCTTTCCTGGGAGCTGATATGCAGGTGGGATACAGCCTGGGCCTGCTGCTGCTCATCATGCCACGACTGGGGGACGGTCTGGCTGAGAACAAAGCCAGTGCAGAAGAAAACACAGTAGAAACCAGATTTCTGATACTATTTGAACATCTGGATCCAACCATACCTGAAGTCACAGCCGCCTAAACTTTTTACTTAGGTGAGTCATTTCATTTACATTCAGTTGGTTTCTGTCAATTGCAACCTGATCCTAACCAACCAGCTGTGAGATGATGTATTTAAAGTAGGTCTCATGGCACACCGTGGCCGCTCCATAATTATATGGGAACTGTACTGTTATTACTCAGGCCACCAAAGTAAGATGTGCCGGGGGACCCAGATGGCCAGTGAGATCTGGCCAGGCCCCGGGCCATCACCACACCTGTGGTCACAGCGACCAAGCTGGCCTAGCAGGACTCACCTTCCTTTCTCTGGCCTGCGGTATCCCCTCCCACGGGGGACCGGGTGAGGAGAGATGGAGCCCTTCGGGCACTGTCAGCTCTTGACCCTTCCTGGGGCTTCCTCGGGATCATCGTGGTGAGCTCGTCCCTGCTGGAGGCCTCCTCCCGCCTTTCAACAGTGTCCCAGTCCTGCCAGGGAAGGGAGGAGAAAGCATGGAGCCTCTAGGGCCTGTGCTCCCCGCATGAGATAGGTAGATAAAGGGAAGGCTCTGACATTGAAGAGCATCTGCTGTATACTCAGCACAGCCATATACTCAGCACAGCCAGGCTCTTTGCAGACGTTAACTTAGCTAATCTTCAACCAACCCTTGAGGTAGGCATGTACGTCAGAGCTAAAAACTTGCCCTAAGTCACGCAGCTGGGAAATGGTTTAGGTGGGAGGGGACTTGAACCCAGGGCATTTGGACTCCCTGTGGTAGAAAGGCCCTGGCATGGCAGCCCCCGGTCCCCAGAGACACCCCCAGGGTCCAGAGAGAAGTGGGTTCAAAGCCTTGCCCCTCCACTTCCCAGATACATGACCTCAGGTAAGTTGTTTCCCTTCTCTGAGCCTCAGTAGAATGGGGTCATAAAAGTCTCTACCTCAGAGGGGGTGGTGAGCCTTCTTGAGCCCACACCTGCCGTCCCATCACTTTCCCTCAGAGGTCTCACAGATAACCTGCCTCTCCTGCCCTGTGACAGCCCTTTGAGGGGTGAATACCCCAGGAAGTTCCCGAGTCTTCTCTTCTCCCAGCCAAATGGCCCCCAGCCCTTGCCTGGGCTGCCCACCCTGCTCCCTCCCCTCTGTCCTTCAGAGATCTATGCCAGGGCTGGTCATGGAGCTCAGAGGCATGTGACCAGGACAGGGCCCAGAACCAGTCCCATCCTTGCTCCAGACAGCATGCCCAACATCCCGGCCCTCTGTGACCTGAGAGTATTGGGCAGCCTGACCCCATCGGTGATTCACCTGGAACTTCCTGTCAATTGACACTCCTTCCGTCTTTTCACGGAAGAGACCCCTGCCCCTCCCAGGCGGTTGGTCCGGGTGGCCCAAGGTGCCGGCTAAGTCTCCAGAGGGCCCTGGCCCAGCTCCCTGGTGTAAGAGACTCAACCCTTGTCTGGAGGTTTGGGGGGGACCCCAGGGCTGGCACAGAGGGGCGATCTTGCCCCCGGCCGTCCCTTCCCAGCTCACCACGGAGGACGAGTCGCTGGTATCATCAGGGGTGTTGCAGTCAGGGCTGGAGCTGGTGCCAGACTCAGGGCCTTCGTCAAAGCTGCCTCCCAGGGAGGAGGCCAGACCCCCCAGATAGGGCACTGCCTCCGGCTCCTGGCTCCTGTGTCCAGGGGCAGCTGTGGGCGCCTCTGCGGAGGACCCTGCTGACCGGCCCCTGGGAGAAGAAACAGACCTATGACTTCTTCCCCAAAAACTCATGGGAACTAGGGAGTAGTACCCCACCCAGGTACACACACACCTCACACTAGAGCAAAGGAGGGAGTGAACACCTGTGCTGGGCTTTTCACATGGACTGCCTCATTTGGCTACAACAGTCTCCCTTTGAAATGTGTGTCGTGATTCCCATTTTACAGATGAAGACACTGAGGCTCAGAGAGCTCAAGGGTCTGGCCAAGGTCACAGAGCCAGGAAGGGGGACAGCTGCATTGTGAACCATGCCTGTGACCCCAGCACCAATCCTCTGTCACTGGAGTAGGAGTGGGACCCCCAAGCTCAGTAAAACTGACATGACAGGTGTACTGGGCTGAAGGGGGGCCTCAAGAGGTAGCAGAGCTCCAGAGATAGTGACAGGGTCACCAGTCTGGATGCCAAGGGAGGGAGTAGCAGAGAAAGCCCTGCTTTAGACAAGCCAGTCCAGATAGCCAGAGGCCCAAGTAGGCTTATAGATGGCAGTGTCCCCAAAGAGTGACCCACAGATGGACCTACAAGACGGGAAGGGATGACGGCCCCGAAAAAGGTCTGTGGTCACATGAGTTTGGGACGTACCACATACTTCTACCACCCTACCCAAAAGCACAAGGCCTGCTAGCAAACTGAATTTTCTGACAAGTCTTGCAAGACAGATATTCAAATCTGTTTACCCTGGACTTTCTGAAACATACTTGGTGGCAGAGCTGGTTTTGGTTAAGTACTACCTCTCTGTGAGGCGTACATGTTCCCAAAGCAAAGCTGATTTGATTCAATTCCTCTTATTTTTTAAACAGGGAAACTGAGGCATAAAGGAGGGAATGACTTGTTTCCTTAGCCCATCGGGGATGGAACAGAGGCCGGAACCCAGGTTTCTGGGCCCTCGGCCATGCCCTCCCAAGGCACCATGGCCTCAAAGAGGGACTTCAGTTCAGCTCAGGCCTGGGGGTGGAGGGAACCCCAGAGCCTGGAGCAGCGCACGGTCAGGTAGGTGGGTGGTCACAGGTGCCCACCTGTTTAATCTTTCAAAGCTGTGCCAAGGAAATGTGAGCAGGCTGGGGGCCATGCCCCCTGCAGGGTGGGTGCATGGCTGCTCCTCACCCAGGAGCAAACTGAGCTAGGGCCCAAGGAACATGGCCACTGCTGGCCTATGCCCAGGCCGTGTGACCTGTCCACGTGACCCATGCCCGCAGCCAGCAGACAGATCCTGCCATCGTGAAGGGGTGCAGGGTGGGGTGGGTGAGGGCATCCTCCCCTAGGGAGCCCCTCCCCAAGCCCTGGGGCTCTACCCACCTCTCAGGCCCTGGCCCAAGGCCCGGGCCCGCCACGGACTGGCAGCCGGAGGTCGAGGGACGGGGAGGGTCCTCAGAGGCAGGCGGGCGGCGTGGCAGGTCGCAGTAAGGCACCCCAGCACTTGGAGGGCTCCCCGGCTCCTGGGGCAGAGTTGGACAGAGGAGGCAGCTCCTGGCCCACGTGGGGGTTCCCCTCCCCCTGCGCAGCCCCTCCCCCCACCAGGCGGTGTAGCTGAGCGGCCGGGCATCTCCTCCTGGGATCTCAGGCTTCTCAAGGAGAGCTGTCCATCAGGCGGGCAGCGTCTCTGGGGACCCAAGCGGGGGGCTGGCAGAGGTGCAGGGTGTGTGCAAGCACACGTATATGTACAGGTCTGTGTGTGTATGAAGGCCTGTGTGTGCAAGTGTGCGCCGGCGCGCGTGTCTGCAAGGTCGGGGCAGGGGGACACTAACGCACAAGTTTGCATCAGCGCATGTGAGTTTAGCTCTACATGTGTGTCGGCGCACGTGCGTGTGCGCTGGAGGCTGTGAAGGGAACAGAAGGGCCCAGACGGGTCTCCTGCAGCTGGAGAACAAGGTCGAGGGCGGAGGGTGAGGAGGAGGGACGCAGCCCACCTGGAGAGTGAAGGACATGGTCTGCGGGAGGAGGAGGAAGTCTGAGGGGACGGAAAGCGAGACCTGGGGGGAAGGAGCAAGGGGAGATTTGCCCTGCTAAAGGGGGCGCGCAGGGGGCTGGCAGGGGGCAGGAGGGTCCAGGCCCCGGGGTGGGGGTGGGGGTGGGGCCCTGAGCCCGCAGCCTTCTCTCCCCTGCCCGCCCGGCCAGGCCACACCTGCGGAGGCTGGAGCCGGGCTCACCCGGGGGGATCGGCGGCGGCTCAGCTCCGGGAAGGCCCCCCCATTCCTCCCCTCCTCGCCGGGGCGGCCGGCCCTCCCTGGTGGTGGGAGCCGGCGGCGACGCACCCTGCACCCCGCCTCCTCTCAGGTTACCTGGCCGGCGGGCTCCCGCGGTGGCGGCTGTCAGCACCCTCGTCCCCGGGGGGCTCCGGCTCAGGCCCCCACGCTGCCGCCCTCCCAGGCCCCGACTCTGGGCCGTGGCGGCGGCGGCCGAGGCGGCGGAAACCTTAGAGGGGCCGGCTGCGAGCAGGGGCCCCTCATTACTCTTTCATAAGCCGGGGCCCAGCCAAGAACAATGAGGGACATGAAACCGCAGGAACCTGATCCCCGCCGCTCACCTGAGAGCCGGGCAGGGAGAGGGGAGGCTGGGCGCCGGCTCCCCGGGGACCCCGGAGCTCAGCGCCCAGGGCTGAGGCCACAGCCCGGCCACGCTGCAGGGTGGGCACCCGCGCCGACGCCAAGAAAGCCACGAGAGCGGGCCCTGGGCAGTGCCAAGGAGCGGGGCCCGGGTGGGCGCAGAGCCATCCAAGCCAGAGGAGGCCCATGTGGGTTCAGTTTTGCCCCCTGCCCTGGAGCCAGATTCTGATCAGAACTGGACAGCGGGAGGTGTCAGATCCACAGCCCAGCCTGGCGCCTTGGCCGCCCTGGGGACCTTGCCACATGAATGAGGAGGGAGCAGTGGGTTGGGTACCACCAAGGGGTCCAGCCCAGCTGGGCCCAAGCAGGACCCCCAGCCTGTCATGGCACCTCCTCCCTGCTTTCACCCCAAGCCCCCATCACTGCCCACTGCCCGCCTGAGCAGGCCCCGAAGCCAGTCCCTGGCTCTGATTTCCCGTCTGCGGGTCAGCACGGGCTCTGGCCTCAGACAGACGTCAGGCCCAGTCCTGGCACCTCCACTTCCTAGCTGGGTGACCTCAGCCCAGTGGTTTCCCTCTCTGAGCCTGGTTTTCTCATCTACAAAACTGGGATGATAAGAACATGCACCTCCTAGGGATGTTAGGACAATTAAATGGCTCAATATTTGTTTTTGTTTTTGTTTTTTAAAGATTATTTATTTATTTATTTATTTGACAGAGAGAGGCACAGCGAGAAAGGGAACAACAAGCACGGGGAGTGGGAGAGGGAGAAGCAGGCTTCCCGCTGAGCAGGGAGCCCGATGCGGGGCTCGATCCCAGGACCCTGGGATCATGACCCGAGCCAAAGGCAGACGCTTAACGACTGAGCCACCCAGGCGCCCCAAATGGGTCAGTATTTGTAAAGGGCTTAGAACAGTGCCTGGTCTGCACATCTTCAATATAATAAATAATGTAAAAACATTAAATAGAATTTTATTAGGGTTAAATCAATAGAATATTAAATACATTTAAGAATAAATACATTGAGGGGGCCTGGGTGGCTCAGTTGGTTAAGCGACTGCCTTCGGCTCAGGTCATGATCCTGGAGTCCTGGGATGGAGTCCCGCATCGGGCTCCCTGCTCCGCGGGGAGTCTGCTTCTCCCTCTGACCCTCCCCTCTCTCATGCTCTCTCTCTCTCTTTCATTCTCTCTCTCTCTCTCAAATAAATAAATAAAAATCTAAAAAAAAAGATACATATTTAAAAATAAATAAATAAATAAATAAATAAATAAATAAATAAATAAATTGAAAGGGCGCCTGGACGGTTCAGTCCGCTGAGCATCCAACTCTTGGTTTCGGCTCAGGTCATGATCTCAGGGTCCTGGGATCGAACCCCCAGAAGAACCCCGCGACAAGCCCTGCATCAGGCTTCCTGCTCAGTGGGGAGTCTGCTTGGGATTCTCTCTCTCCCTCTGCCCCTCCCCCAGCTCACGCTCTCTCTCTCTCTCTCAAATTAATAAATAAATCTTAAAATAAATAAATAAAGAAATACATTGAAAAGGGATGTGTGGTGCCTGGCAGACAGCAGGACCCTCCCACGTAGCCCGTCCTCCCCCTGCAGATCCTGGCTGTGACCTGGTCCAGGCCTCCTGATTTCCAGGGATAACCACCTGCCCCCCTGGCCTGTGGGAGGCTCAGCTGAGAACAGAGCAGGGATGCATCCAGCACCCAAGCTCCTAGGGGAGCTAGAGTAAGCCTCAGGGAGAGGGTTGCCCTGGGACCTGGGGCCACATCTGTACATTCCTGGGTAGCATAACGCCTGGCACATTTCAGGCACCTGTTCCTTATGAGTGAACACATGAGCTGGCCTAAGGTCTCAGCCTGGAAGTGGCTGGACTGACACTAGAACTGAGACCTGTCTGAGTCCAAGTTTCTCCTCCTGTTCCACACTTGCCATCTCCCCACCCACTGCGGAAGGCCATGGGCATCAGAGACAGACTCGTGGGGCTTTGGGGTGTGTTCCCTGAACTTGGGGCTGAGGGTAGAGAGCTATTCTTGGAAGTATCAGGACAGGTAGAAAATTCTCTCCCAGGTTTATTTTTTGGCTCAGGAAGGACGAAGAGAGGAAACTAACGTGTATTGAATTAGCCACATGTCCTTGGACTAAATGGTGCCAGATGCCCTGAGTGAGAAGCCCTGTTGCCCCACTTCCCCCATTAGGAGAGTGAAGCCAGAGAGGGTAAGACCCCAGGTCACATGGCCGGTAAATGGCAAACCTAGGATTGGGACTCTGGTTTGCCTGGCTCTGAAGCTGAACAGTAACTCCCTTAGGAAGGCCACCTCGTGGAGTCTAACACCCCGCATGGAGCTGGATGCCAGGCTCAGGAGGAGCCTCAGGACCCGCTGGGAATGACAGAGCCATGGGGGACAGGGCGGGGGAGGGTCAAGCCCGGAGGGGTCCATGGAGATTCACGGTCCCATGCTTCTCGTAGCTTCTGTACCGGGAGCTCTGGATTTACGCGGAGCGGGGCTTGGCATAAGACCACGAGGATGGCAAAGTGAGAAAACACCTCCCCTTTCTCTCCTTCAATACCTCTAGGGAGAGTCTCCAGTAGGAGCTGGGATGCCTTTAATGCCTCCCTAACACCTGCCAATCTCTCTTTTTAAAGAGAGACAGCAAGACTTGGGCTCAGAGCCTTCAGCTGACAACACTCTCTAGTGAGAATTTAATGACATTTCTGATTTTCTTCCTTTTCTTTCTACCTTTTTAACCTTCTATATAAAGGATATGATCCTAGTGTCCCATTTGTGGTGATGCTATAAAGTTTTGTTTTAGTATAAATTTTAAAAAGGGTGTTTATTTAAAGCATAATAAAATAAGTACTAAATGACATGAGGCCATGGCAAAAAATCATAAAAGCAGGAGAATGACTTGTATTTGGGAAACATAACATGGGCCCATCAGCTCATTGTACAGATGGCAGAACCTCTGTTCTGCCCAGGAGGAAGGCCAGTGTTTGGGTTTGGCCACAAGTTAGTGGCCCACCAGCCGCAGCCCGTCCTGAACACCCCCATCCCAAACTGCCGCAACCACTCAGGGAAGCTGGCCTACCTGGTGCCTTGGTCTGTGGGCCTCCTCAGGGTGGAAGCAATTTTGACAGCAGCTCTGGGCAAGCACGTTGGCCTCAAAGTATTCACACGGGGCATTCCCAGCCACCTCCTCCATACTGGTTGAGTCAGGCCAAAGTAGCTCCTGCGATCCTATGGTGGGGCCTGGGAAGAATGCGGGGGAGGCAAGGACCAGGTAACTGGCTGGCAGCCCACCGGAACCCAGCCTTAGCTACCCCCAGACAGATAAGGACTAAGGAAATAAGGTTATCCATCCATTCATTTAGCTGTTCATTTACTCACTCGGTAAACACTCATTAAGCACCTACTAAGCACCAGGCACTCTGCCAAGCGTTTGACATGTGATTTCTAGTCATCACTGCAGTGCTGCTCAAAGTGTGTTCCAAGGACGCTGCATTAGACTCAGCTGAGCTGCTCCTAAAACGCTTGTTCCTAGAGCACCTGGAGGGCTCATTCGGTGGAGCATGCGACTCTTGATCTTGGGGTTGTGAGTCTGAGCCCTACGTTGGGCCAAGAGATTACTTTAAAAAAACAAAAACAAAAACATATTCCCAGTTCCCTCCCCATATCCACCCAGTGAGAATCTCTTGGAGGTGAGGCCTGGGGTTGCTCATTTTCAACAAATTTCCCGGGTGAGGCAATGCACCCCAAAGTTTGAGTACCCTGGCCTCACAGTTACCCCACATTGTAGATAAAGCAATGCCAATTTCAGACAAAGCAACTAAGGCTCACCTAGGGCCCACACCTTGCTCTAGGTCCCAGGAGCTGAACTGAATTCCAGCCCAGGTCTGTGTCCCTCCCCACCCTCTTGGAGGTGGAAGTGAGGGGCCCTGGATCACACTGCCAATTCACACAGGTTCCTTGGGCAACGCTGGGAGTGAAGCAAAAGCCAGCAGGTATTTTCAGAGTTGAGGACAAAGTCACACAGCCAGGATGCAGTACGGTTTAGCCACAAAGAAGCCCCGGTGCTCTGACTTAAGCACAGGGCCCTCCCATCTGGGTGAGGCCACTGAGGGCTCTGGCGCCATGTCCCGGGTTGGGGGGGAGGGGGCAGACCCCAACAAAAGAGTGACTTGAAGATGCCTTCCTCGCTCACAGAGAGCCCCAGGAGGAGAGTGGCGCAGAAGATGAACCCATATCCCCAAACCCCATGCACCTTGCGGTGCCCCCAGGTCGCCTGCCCATACACCGGTCCTCACCTGGTGAGTTTCCTCCAAAGCATACCAGGACATAAGGCCTTTGTGGCCCAATCTCAGCTGAGACCTGGGGAATTTCACATCCTCCCCTGGGGCAGCCAGGGCGAAGGTTCCTGGCTTCTCCACCATCAGACCTGGGGACGTGGCAGGAGCCGGCGTGTGTGTGAGGGGGGTAGTCACTGGCCCCTCAGCCTCCCTGGGCTGTCATCTCCCCGCGACGTCCCCTGCCCCAGTGGTGGAGGGGGCGCGCACCGGTCCCGCCCAACTTGGGCGGTTCTTTCCTGGTCTGACCACATAAAGGAGCGTCGCCTGACAAGAGAAGGCGGCTCATTTCCCTGGGGGCGGCTGGGGGCTCTATTCCACGTGCCCCTCACTGCTCCCGCTTCCTCCTCTTCCTTAATCCCCAACCAACTGGCAGAATCCTCTAAAATGCACATTAGGTGTGCCTGTAACAATGAAAAACCTTCGGCGGACACTCATGCCCCACCCGGGGAATGGACTCCTGGACCTCTCCGGCGGGTCAGCCAGTCCCTCTCCGTATGCCTCGCCCCTCTCCCTTACCCCAGTAGCGTCCTCTCCCCGCCCCCGTCCCCCCTTTCCGCTGCGCAGTGCTACTGACCTCGGCTCGGGTTTCCACGCACAGGGGGTGCCGGGGTGGGATGCCGGGGTCACAGCTTCTATTTTAACAATGAATCAGAACGTTGCCCGGGAGGTGGACGAAGACCACTCCCCTGCCGCTCTTGCATAGGCTCGCTCTAGGCGCTTCATTTACATAAAGGCTGTGGGATTGGACAACCCGAGGGCAAGGGGCGGGGCGGAGGCGGGCGGCGCCCAGATGCCTCTGAGCGCGGGACCGGCCGCACGTTTAGCCTGAGCTGCTGCTGGGTCTGGGTTTCCAGGAGGCCCTTCAGAGAGCTGGCACTGACGGGCCTGGCTCCCTCTGATGTCTTTCCCGCCGGTGCATTCTCGCAGCACTTCCCTGCACTGGCCTCACTCCAGATGTTGGGCTAGCGACTTAAATTCTCTATGCCTCAGTTTTCTTATCTGTAAAATGGGAAGAGTAGTAGTACCTGTGGGGATCAAATGAAATGCCCAGGGGTTTTCAGCCTCCATTTGCTCGCTTCCACTGATGCAGAACTCACTCACAAAATGCATAGCTCTCTCTCTCTCTTTTTTTAATCTGCGCCCTTTTTAAGCTAACATTTATTCTGCACTATGTACCAGCTCCTATTCTAAAATCTTTACATTCATTAGGATACAGTAACCCAAAGGGTTAAGTACCAAGATCCTCATTTCACAGCAACTAAGGACAATTAACCTGCCAGGGTCTCACAGCTAGTAAGAGGCAGAGCTAAGACTAAAGCCCCAGTGTGGCTGACTCTACTATAGCACCACAGAGCGTCTTCATTCACTAATTATACGCAGACATTCACATGGATCTCTGCTGGGCACTGGGGAGATGGTAACGTGAATAAATTGTGCCTCCTTCTGAGTTGAGAAGCCCGTTGACCAGTGGAAGAGATAGCCCCTAAACAGGTCATCCTGGCCCAGGAGGGAATGGGTGAAGACACAGTTTAGTAACAAGAATAACGAGCTTTCAGCTTGATCCCAGTTACTGTGAGCAGAACAGGAAGTAGTGAGACAGAGGTTCGGTATCTGGCTCTAGCACCTCTTGGCTGTGTGATCTTGAAAAAGTTACTTGACCTGTCTGAGCCTGGTGTGGGTTAGACATTTTGGTTTGAGTTTGAGGGTCAGGACATGGCTGGGGCCCTTTAGCCCTATCCCCCCACCCTCTCAACCCCCCCCCCACCATCAGTAAAACCTGTAGCTAACTCAGGGTGGTGTTCCTGACAATTCAGTTCATTAAATACTTACGGAGCCCCTACTTAGTTGTGTGTGCTGAGGATACTTAGCAAAAAAAAAAAAGATTGAATCTCCTGATTCCTTGGTGCTTACATTCTAGCGGAGACAAACAGACCCCAAACAAGATAAAAATTTATTTATTTATTTATTAGAGAGAGGGAGGAGGAGGAGGGGCTGAGGGAGAGAGAGCATCTCAGGAGACTCCCCACTGAGCAGGGAGCCCAATACGATGGGGGGCTCTTCTCAGGGCTCGATCCCACGACCCTGAGATCAGGGCCTGACCCGAGATCAAGAGTCAGACGCTCAACTGACTGAGCCACCCAGGCGCCCCAATGCCAAGCAAGATAAATAAGCAAGATACGGAGTATGTAGGCTGGTGAGAGGTGTTAAGGAGAACAGTGAAGCCAGGAAGGGGGGTGGAAGTGGCTGGTGTGGGGAAGGCATTACATTTGAAATAAGGTGGGCAGGGAAGGCCTCACTGAGATGGTGACATCCGAGCAAAGCCCTGGAGGAGAGGGAGAGAGGCTACAGGCCCCGGGGAGGAACAGTCTGGCGGAGGGGACAGAGGAGTGAGGCAGGAGGAGAGGCAGAGAGGAGGAGAAGAGTCTGGGGGCAGGACGGGGGTTGTCCTGAGTGCTCTCCCTAGCTCTGGAGCCGCCTGGCGGGGCCCCTGGAGGGCAGGAGAAGGTGGTAGGCAGGTGGGCGTCAGCCAGCGTGCTGAAGGAGAGAGGACGGGAAGGAGGCAGGAGGAGGGGGCCAGGGAGCTCTGGGGACTGTTGGAAGAGGCCTCCCTCTTGGGAGGGGGGACAGTGGCTCTAAGAGCGGTTGAGGCCCAAAGAGGGGCCTTCAGTCATCTAAGTAATGACAGTCCCTCCTTTTCCCGAGTGGGCAAAGCTGGCCTCTCTGCGTGCACACTCGTGTTTCTCCCCACACCTCCCTGCAATGAGAAGGGCCGCAGTCGCCATCCGCGTTGTATAGAGGTGAAAGTCAAGGCTGAAGCAAGCTGTCCAGAGCCACTCAGTTACTTATGATGGAGCCTGGTCTAAAAACCACACTCCCAGAGTCCTGTGCGGGATGGCTCCGATGGCTCAGGGTTAAGGGCACAATTGGCAGCCGGGGCAGCGCCTGCCACCCTTGTCACCATTTATCCTGGGGACACCATCTCCCTTTCTGCTCCCTGCAGTCTGTGCCTGCTCACCTCCATCTTTGCTCATGCTCTTCCCCGTGGCTGGGATACACTCTCCTTAGGTCTGGGGTAGCTGAACCACCACTGACACTTCCAGACCCACTCCACCCCTCTGCCCTGTTTCCTCCTGCCCTCCCAGCCCACCCTGCCCACAGGCCTGTTGGAGGATCCCATGCCCTGGGCAGGCAAGGCAGGGAGGCAGGAGGTGGTGGCCCCACGGAGCAAAAGAAGGAAAGCCTGAGTCTCTCACAGGGTCATCAGGGCTGACTCCAGTCCATGCGACCCTGGGAAGTGGTGATTGGGTGCAGCCAGGCTTACTTTTACTGAAGAAGCCAGAAATCTGAACTTCTGAATGAAATCACAACATCTTAAAATATGGCGAAGTCGGGACGCCTGGGTGGCTCAGTCGTTAGGCGTCTGCCTTCAGCTCAGGTCATGATCCCAGGGTCCTAGGATCGAGTCCCGCATCGGGTTCCTTGCTCAGTGAGGAGCCTGCTTCTCTCTCTCCCTCTGCTGCTCCCCCAAGCTTGTGCTCTCTCTCTCTGACAAATAAATAAATAAAAATTAAAAAAAAAAAATATGGCGAAGTCAACTTATTTAGGTTTTGGTTTTGATTTTTTTTTTTTTTTTAAGATTTTATTTATTTGAGAGAGAGAAAGAACACATGAGAGGGGATGGGGTCAGAGGGTGAAGCAGACTCCTTGCCGAGCAGGGAGCCCGATGCAGGACTCGATCCAGGGACTCCAGGATCATGACCTGAGCCGAAGGCAGTCGCTTAACCAACTGAGCCACCCAGGCGCCCTGATTTGGTTTTTGCCTCAAAAAATTGGGTAAACACTCAGAATTGTTCCTCTCCACAGAATTCTTTTTTTTTTTTTTTAAGATTTTATTTATTTATTTGAGAGAGAGAGACTAAGAGAGAGCATGAGCAGGGGCTGGGACAGAGGGAGAGGGTGAAGCAGACTCTCTACTGAGCAGGGAGCCTGATGCGGGACTCGATCCCAGGACCCTGAGATCATGACCTGAGCCGAAGGCAGATGCTCAACCGACTGAGCCACCCAGGCACCTCTGGTCAAACTGTTTTTAAATACTCTGTGAATAAAACGAAGCTAATGTTCAGGTCTTCTAGCCTATGCAGTGTCTCTGAAATGGTAAAGCACAGATAGATTTTTTCATTCTCTTAGTGATAGCTTAAATGGCACCCCCTCCAGGAAGCCCTCCCTGGCTTCCCCAGCCTTAAGCAAGGGCTCACTGTGCTGAGCTGAGATCCTGTGCAGGACTCGCATGGCTCCTGGGGTTTCTTTCACATTATGCACCTTGAGTGCACCCCTTGAAGGTAAGACTCAGCTTGTTCAGCCAGTCAGGCAGTATTAATGTCTGTATCTAGGGAGTGACTTGCTTCCTGAGGGGGCCACCTCAATGTACCTCAACTGCAAAATGGGCTTAATGGAATTGCCTAGACTGTGGGGTTACTATGAGAACTCAATGAGTGGTGTATACAGTAAGTGCTCAATAAATGCTACTATTATCATCTCTCCTCCACTCAGTCCCTACAGCTACAGCTCATGAAATATAAGTCACTGGAGGGCAGGGACCACCCTCTCTTGTTCACCAATGTATCCCCAGTGACTGGGACTTCATAGGTGCTGAATAAATGCTTGGCGAGAGAGTCAATGGGTGCCTGCATGAGAGGAGGGCCTCCCTGCCTCCCCCGGAGTAACTACAACAGGGTCTTGGAGGCTCCAGGACTCCCGGTGCAGCCTCCACACTACCCCTAGGGAGATCTCTCTAAAACAATCACTGACTTGCCCCTGGCAACTCCCCAGCCCCACCTCAGGGGCTCCCACTGCCCACAGGATAAGGGTCCAGGTCCTCAGCTCAAGTTTGAGGCCCTTCAGGGTCTGGGGCCCAAGGGCCTCTGCAGCTGCTTCCCCTCTGGCCGCTCCCCACCTTTGCTCACCAGGGCCCTCTACCTGCCCATCCCCTCCCTCAGCTGCCTGGCCAACCCAAGTCATCTTTCAAGATTGACATCAAGGATCACCTCCTCTCGGAAGCCTTCTTGGATGCCCTCCTCTCTGCCCTCTGGGCTGTAAGGATGTCTGCCCTCTAACACTTTGTCAAAACCCTGACCTCCAGAGGGACGTCCATGTGTCTGCCCCCTCCGAGGGATGCAAGGACCATGTCTTACTAGCCATGACAGGTAACTTCTGACATTATGTAAGTGGTGACTCGGTTTTCTCCCCTGTCAGATGGAGCTAATTCCCACTTTGCCATGCTGCTGTGAGTTACATGAGAAGTGCTCGATAAATTACTTTCCCATCCGATTTCTTTTGGTTGTTATTTGGCAATCATGCTGGCTAGGGGGCGAGGACCTAGCCAGCATGATTGCCAAATAACAACCAAAAGAAATCGGGTGATGGGGAAGGTTTCAGTGGAGGCCCAAGAGAGATGGATATGGTGACGGGAAGGAGAAAAAAAAGAAACAGATTCAGAAATTTGCAGACAGGCAAACACGGCAGTAGGGCCAAGAAAATTCTAGAACAATTATTTCAAGGGCCATTGGGAGCACCTGTGGGGAGGGGGATTGGGTCCCATGTAATTCAGCCAGGACTGGCTCAGGACCTATGGTGAGACGGGCCCTGTGCCAGGGG